GTACCTTCCACATAATGAGGGTTTTACCAAATTTGAATCTTAAAAATTATATTCAAATTTTATTTCGTTCAGAATTGTACCATGTTTGAAACTGCAACATTTTTTCCATAATCTCTTTTATTTTTTATATTGTTTTCATTTTATACTTCTACTTCTATTAATCGATTTTTATATCTAAATTGTTTCTTGTATTAAGGCTCGATTTTTTATTATCTGGTTAATTTGTGGTTAAGCTTAACTTGATGTTATATTCAATGACATCATAGATGAAGTCTGAATAAAACATCAGATTAAGTCTACCCAAGTTAACCAGATAATGAAAAACCGGGCGTAAGTATTTGATGGAAAAGTCAGGAAGATCGGGATTTTTAATTTGATATATTTAACATTTATTGATATACCACCCCAGTGGAAAATCGCTAACAATACAATGATATTTCGCTTATTGCAATCTGTTTTTGTCCCAGTAAATCTAATCGCCTTAAGATATAATTAGAATGATAACACAGGAACACCACTGTCGCCTCTATTCATTACGATTTGATTGAAAACGAATCGATTTTACGCGTTAGAACAATTGAAAAGACTATCGAATTTATTGCGCCAGTAAAGTAATTAACTTGCAGTCGTGATCTGCACATCGTGCGTGTATGTAGCACGACTAATTGATTTGTGTAACAAATTCGATAACATTTTGCAAGAATTAGATAAACCTAGTAACAATGATTTTCACTACTATTTTAAGCAATAAAGGTTGTGTACTAGCTAAATAAGAATACATATAATAAAATGATACATTTGTGATTAATTCATATACATACACATAGAATACAATTTAAATTTTTCTGCAATGACATCATCAGATAGAATTTATTAAAATGAACAAAATTAAATAAATGTCATTGATTTCTAATTAAATTCATAAAATGTGAAAATAATGATGTTATATCCCAGGAAACATCAAGTTGTAATTTCCTATTCAACAGTATAATTGTAATATAACATGTTATATTTTTTACAGTTTTATTGTTAAACGAGAAGTTACAACTAACGTATATGTTATATGTAATTTGGTGTTTGCTAGGATATTATGATAAAAGCTTTTTCCTGTTTTGTAACAACTTATTTTATCATTTAAAAGCAGTAAATAGTGTTTAAGCTACATTGATATTTAACTCTGAATCTTGTGCGTGACATAATTTGATGTTTGCTCCTCGTTTCTAAAAAACTAAAGTTAAAACTAAAGCACTGTAATTCTTGAACAATTTCTTTTGCATCATACTATAAAACCTATTACTATCACAATGGTAGTTAGACTAATTTCTAATCGGTCTCCGTTTCGCAAATTACTACAAACGTGAACGTGATCATAACTTTTATAAATGATTTCTAATAATCTCTAATCGCCTGCCTTTATGTAAGTTTTTTATAAATTACTGGCAATGGCCATAATTTTTACGAAGCATTTAGGAGGGCTTTCGAGATGTAAGAGACATTTTCTTTTATAAAATATATTTAATCAGTTACAAGAATATATACAAAGATCCAATCTAATAAATATTTTTCGAATGCCCTCATAAAAGAAAATCATGAATAAGAATAATTTTAAAATTTGTGCAAATGCGTGTGCTGTTTAAAAAGTTGAATTTGCTTTAAACGGAAATAAAACATACACACGAGAAAAGAAATTCGACGATTCGTTAAAGTGTTCCAAAAGAAACCCCTATCCTATCATAATCTTTAACTAGAGATATTACTTATTGATGTTGTTAATTAGAAACTATGTATGATGATTTACAGATTGGCAGTATGAGATATAATTAATGCATTATTCTGCATAATCACTGTAGTAATGCATTCTGTATTATCACTATAAAGAGTAACAGATTCGAGCCCGAGGAAGGATCTCGCTAATCGATCGTAAGTCTAACTGTGACTTCACTATAAAAAAGTGCTTTCAAGCTCAACAATTGTATCGTTTCTAATATAACCAGTGATATTACGTAACGATTAACTATTTTAATAAACTGCGACATTCTTTTCACGAGCAATATTACGAATGTATATTATTTGGAAGCCATCCCGATATTTCAAGCTTCAACGTATTTCTACACTTAAATAGATGAAAAATTCTCTCTACTCCGTTTTCATATATATCAATAAAAATTATCACAAATTTTAGAAAATAATGCAGTTGGACAAGTTAAAAAATAAAAATTTAAATAATATCCAAAATTTTTTTACTTATAATAATTTTCTTTTTTTTCCTAATCCAGTTCAATGAATTTCTTACACGATAAATGATATAATTGGACTGTAGAACTCATATAATTATTTAGCTTCGTCGTAATGAAACAAGATACATAAATTATGTAATAGTTATATGCATGTTTAATTATAATAGGCGTAATAATTAATGCAAATGGATTCGAACGTTGAAATAATTCGCTCGAATATCAGTGGCCTCCGTCTGATAGATCCTGTCGACTATTTTATGCGCATTTACATGACTATCACGTTTACAACGCCGTTAAACGTACATAATGGGATGGAGACCATCTCCGCGCTCGCTAAAACTGTCCCTCACTTAGTGATTGAGAGAGGAGGAGAAAGATAATGACTAGTAATAATAATACTTCGATAATATTAAAGCCACGCAATTTTTTACAGTATCGTACGATAGATCTAACGTCTTCTAAATCTTAATAAATTGACTAGGTTGTTGCTCAGTTAAATTCATAGCCCCCGTCCCCTTCGATTTTTTTTTCCTTTTCTCGTATCTTTTATCGTAATAGATTCGATTTGTTACGCATTCTTTATCCAATCGTCCGATTGTTTTCACAGTCAAGGTCCATCTCAAGCGTACATATCCTCCAAAGCAAAAATCAGCGCCGCATATTAATTAAAGATATGCCTATTAAACGTATTTGTTAAAATGCACGCAATCGAGCCAGTGATATGACATTACTTTAACGCTAGTTTTAAAGATTCGGCACAGGGCTATTGCCCGAAAATATCATTGTGTGAATTAAGTATTAATTTTAATTTATTTTGCAATTAATTATCCTTATTTCTTATACTCTTCATATTAGCTTCGACGGAAATTAATCGTGTTTTAGCCTCTTAAAGTTACATTCTGCAGTCAAAAGATATTTTGCAAATTCGGCGATTCTATCAATTCGTGTGAAAAAATATCAAGTTTCATCACCAATATGATTTCTAAATAATTTGTGTATTCGTTTCTATTTCGTTATTTCCATGCAAATGTTTTAGCATTAACGTATATCCAGTGCTTAATATAATGAAGTTTTATCTTTCTAGGAACATTTCACAATTTATTTCGAGAATTTATTACTTAGTATACATAACAGTTAAAAGTAAATTTCAATTAACTTTGTTTTGTATAAGATTATGTTATTCCAATTTATAATTCATAGGCATGTTTTTTAACTATAAAACATCAAACAACGCGCGATCAATTATATTCAAATCAAAATCACGTATCTATGTTCATGAATATTTCTAAGTATTAGTAATTATTTTCATTTTTATATGCTTTTTGAGTATTTTCTTAGGAATTTTTGTGCTTTTCTTTCTTTCAATGAAGAATTGTAATCAGCAAAAATTACTGATTACTACACGAAGAGTGTGTAGAGAAACATTTTTGCAAAAATACTTCGTGCCTCGCAAAAAGTAACAAAAATTTATAAAAAATATACGGCATCCCGTGTGTTTGTACAATTTATGCTCATATAGATATAATCTTTCATTAGGATACGTACAAAAACAAAGAGAGGTGCCAATTTGTGTCCAATGTTTGCTCGTTTGCAATTAAAATAATTTCGAAATAGTGTGGACTGTGGGAAATATAGCAAAAGTCTGCTAGAAAAGTTTCAGCTCAATATTTCAAAACGTATGCCCGCGATTCTCGATTTATGTTATAACATTTTACGGCGCATATTGAATATCAATCAATATGCTGGCAGAGATATAACGTATAGGTATTTCCCAAAAAACGTATTTAATTATACATATCTCCATGGCTAGCATTACAATATGTATAAATATACATATATTGACAAGATACATACATTAACGAGACCATAAGAAGATATATATAATAAATGCAGTGTATCGTCATCTTCAAATTGAAGTAATCAACGTGATTCCTCTCAGACAAATCTGCGCTTACATTTCGAAATAGCAGGACGGTATTAATCGCTCCAATTTAAAAACATACGATACGTTTGTATGTGCGTGTGTGCCATATGTGTGTGTGTGTGTGTGTGTGTGTGTGTGTGTGTGTGTATATACATATATGTATATGTCGTGTAATACACATATACATATATATATATATGTGTGTATATCCTAAAGAATATAAATCCTCCGTTAACTTGGCGAGATAATTGCAACGATTTTGCACTGTTGATCGCGCGCGTTAATGTTGCTAGATTTCTTCTTTTATTTTAATTATATTCTCCCAATCTCTTATGAAGGCGCCATTAATGTGACAACGCTTGCGGAGTATCGAGTGTTCGGCATAAAAGCAATTTATATACACAAAAGTAATAATTTATATAGCTTTGTATATAATTTTGTACATTAAATAATTTCTTTGTAATATAAATTAACGCTCCCCTCATATAAATTAACGCATCGTTAGTTTAAAAAAACTGTTAAAAAAAGTTGTTATGGATCGATCACTTTTCTCATTTTTTACAGCTTTTTGTAAGCGTTCGCAGATTAATGGCTGGCATTGTATGCACGCCTTCATTCCAGGTTCGGTCCTGACACTTAATTGATGGTGATAGCTTCTTGGTTTTTTGCTAAATACGATCACAGACAACACAGCGACTCTATATACTCGAGGTACAGCATCTCTATATAAGACAGTATTGGGAAAACAAAAGGATTATAAAGGGAATCATAAGAGATCACTAAAAGAAAAAAATAAGAAGAAAAAGAAAGGAAAGGAACTATCGTCATTCTTTCGTGGAGTCATTTGAATCATGTTTTATAAATTTTTTTCTTTACATCTTCGAATTCAAAGGATATACTTAAGTATGTCCCTTAAATTCAAAAATGTAATACTAACGTTCAGAATTTTTGTACGATCGAACAATTCAAACTAGACCTGTTCTCACAAGTCTAATTTGGAACAAACAAAAATTTATTTTTTGTTTGTAACAATTATTATTTTGTCTCTAACGTTTAGTGATGTCCGAGCATGGCTCGAACAGCCAAATCTTCGAACTGATCAACCATCAACTTTAAAAACAACCGTTAATTTCAAACTGCCTGAATTTAAAAGCTTGAGCTTCATTTTGACTTATTCAAGCGTAATTTGTTTGAATCTCTTGCCTGAGTCTTCATAAGGTTTAATATTTAAGTGTTCTCAGTTTCCGATGGCTTATCTACGTATGTACGAGACCCTGTGTCTTATACAGATCCAACATAACTCAAGAGCTTAGTCAAACGCTACCCCGCGTTCGACCGCAATAAAATGTAGAACCCACGACGTAAAAAGACCAGGTAAACACTAATCAGTTTGAAGTAATGACGACATTTGTGACCAATCAGAAATTGGCTCCAAATTTTAAGTCAATATAAAGCCGCCATTAGAAATTTGCCACCGGTCAGAAATTTGTCTCAAATTATATTCGGTTATCATTATTACACCTGGTATTTTTACATCTTATAATTTTACATCATGGTAGAATCCATGATGGAATCAGATTCCACCATGGTAGAATTTGCGATTTCGCCGTTATTAAGTCGTTGATTAGTCGTTATAGAAACGCACGCGTAACCATAGGGCGTAGCCTAGCAACACGCGTGTTCCTAATTCTCGTGGAAGCCACCGCGGCGAAAGTACCATCACTCAGCGACGATACTTCCTCTCGAGGAGGAAAACCGCGCGCGATTAATAGTCGCTTCACGACCAATCAACGACGGTCCTGGGACCCAGCTTGATACGAACCATCAACGGTGACAGACAATATTTCCAAAGGGGTACGTGTGGATCGTTATCGCGTTGCGCGCGTTTTTCTGTATAGAGCGTATCGACGATAGAGAGACAGTGTGCATTATCCGAGAACGACTGAATTTTCCCCAATCGCCCGATGTGACCGCGCACTTAATCGCGAATTTATCCTAAAAATTACGTGTATGTATATATATAAATCGTACCATATTATTATTCTCGTTTATACTTAAGTAATAGCTAACTACGGTAGCTTTGGTGTTTCATTGTAATCGATTTTGATAATCCATAAATCGCCGCTCAGGCTTCCGCTACTTTAGCTAGTCTGACGTACGTCCGCACACTCGCACGCCTACGACTCGTAATAACGGATACATTAGAAAATCGATGCTTCACGCACGTACACCTACAACATGTTACACGCTATGAACGCTCACGAGGAGTCCGCAGGCGATCAATATCTCTTGTCAGTGCTTCAATATCGGTGATATAGATACGATTAAATGGCAGATATTGCGAAACTATACCATTAAGAAAAGAGTGGCAGGAAAACACGGATTGATAAGACCAAAAGTACTTGCCCGATAAGTATCGGTGTGTACGCTCTGATACAACATCGATGCAAAAGGAGGAAAAAATTGATCACGGACCGGGATAGTTGATATATTGATTTTATTAATGAACAAGTATCGGTCGAAGGGTATGCATTTTGTATAGAAAAATTGGCCATTCCCTTGTTAGTAGAAATATTGAATGCCTGCGCGGCCCGTTAGAATCGATTGGGTCTAGAAAAGGGCGTACAACGAAGTGTCAACCTACGAACCTACCAACGAAAATACATATGTATGATATCTACGATCGTCAACGATCGTGTGACTAACAATTTAATTGGGGGAGATGCATGGCCACGCCGAAACGTATAAAGCCGGCTCTACATAACACACAGAATGCAGGTCGCAGGTGGCAACTAAAACGTATTTCAGATTATAGATCGCAAGTTGCAATACGTAGGACGCAGGATGCGAAAATTGAAGTTTACCCAACTTCCTGCACCCTGCGTTCTATGTCCTGCAGCCTATTGTAATTAAAATACATTAAATTAGTTAGTAGTCTTGCGACCTGCGACCCTCGTTCTGCGTGGTATATAAGATCCAGCTTTATAGGTTGCAGGACGTAGAACGCAGTAAAGTTGGATAAACTTCAACTTCGCGTCCTGTGTCCTGCATCCTGCAACCGAAAATACGTCACGCTGCATCTATTTGCGACCTGCGATCCACGTTTTACGTAGATAGAACGGTTTAAATCAATCTTGCCTTATCTTCACGATGCACAATTGTCACGACCACGCGATCATAATAAATGGTCGTAATCGCGGAGAATATAATAAAAAAATTAACGAATGTAACAATTATGCGGAGTGCTTGAATCAAACGATAGACGATAGAAAAGTCAATTCGCATGTATTACTACATTATACAGGTCTCTGTATAATCATCTGTAAATCATCTGAGAAGCGGTCGCCGTCAAGAGACAACGTAATAACGGCGAGATGTACCCTGTACGCATAACTATGTAATGTATTTTCCTTTAAACAAATAACATTTTTTTGAATGTAAAACGATAATCTACGAGGGGAATCCAGTTCATCTCTTTCAACGCGGAAAATTCTTTTTTAATGCAACCGCACGAAGCATTGGGAAAAAGAAATCTATCATTAGGGAGAAGATATACTCAAGTATAGAAGAAAATGTGTTTCCAAACAAATCACACAATCTCCCGTAAGTCATGAGAAATACTTCTGGTAACGCAAAGTCACGCGATTGATTCGTTATAATTTTTCGCTTTTAGCACCTACCGTGGAAACAGAATTGTGCAAATAATGTGAACGTCTGCAACTGGATGTGACATCCCCTGAGTGATGTATAATTATTTTCTTTTTTTTTTTAATAATTTAGAATCCTTGTTTTTGTGTCGTAATTTCCAACTCACAGCCACGCATAACACCTTCCCCGCCGTTTCCCCTGTTCCTTCATCATCGTCGTCGTCGTCGTCGTCTGAAAATCCCATAAATTTGGCACAAATTCGTGATACCAGGGTTCTTCGATCACTGAATCTTCTCGCGACGAATCGTAGAAAGGGAAGTCGATCGTATTTTATTCGAACCTCGGTCAGCATCTTTTCACTTTCGAGGGCGTCCTTTTCTTAGACACCATTCTTCACAAAGCGCGAGAGATCATAATATATAGGAGCTACGCCAGGTACCTATCTCGCGTATTAATATACAGTTTGACCTTAGATCAAGTTCCTGCAACTTTGCTAAATTCTTGCCAGAGATCGACGCCAATTGTCGTTTCCATGATTGCCAAGATATCCGGCGATCATCGTCACGGGATTGTCCGTGTAGGTGAAACGGTCTCTTCGTTTTTCCGCGTGTTGTTTTCGAAATGGCAATGGAGTCTCCGTTCGACGGCGAGAATAAGAACAACATCTTGCATCGTATCCTCGTACTGCTTGCGTAACGTTTTGCAGAACGAAGAGGCAACAAGATGCTGGAAAATCCGCTCTTCGATTCTACAGATTTAGACCTCGATTGCTACTCTACGTTGCTAGGAGCCGTATTATCGCATTGCCCTAAAAGAAGAAGATTAAAGTTTTGAACCATAAGAGGTTCGATCGAGGAAAAAAATTTTAAAGAAAATATTCAAAAAAAGACAAAAGTTACAAAATAAAAATAGAAGCAAAATAGAAAGGTAAAGCGATCAGTTACGTACACTTTAACATTTAGATAATTCAATTCTTGAGTTGATGAGATAATATTGAAAAAAATTCAACAAAGATATCATCCTCTAAATAAATTTTCGTCGGAATAAAATAATCTTCAAGTTTTATGAGAAATTATTGTTGGATCGGCGCGCTCCACGTTCTCTGATTATTCCAATATCTTTGATTTTTCATAAGAATTACATCTGAGAAATGCCTATCTCGCTGGAGGAGGAGAAAATACTCTCAACGGTTTGAAAAGTATTGGGAAATCTAGCTTTAGATTTACCTTCAACAAAAGAGCGGCGCCTCCGGTTGGTTCCACCAGTGGGCAGCCAGGAGTAGATAGAGCTCCTGATCCTGGACGGTGTAACCAGGTGGCGGCTGAGAGGGCAGAGGTGGCGGGATAGGCGGCAGCAGGGAATAGGACGGCGGCGGCGGCGACGGAGATAGGGATTGTGAGAATGTTGTCGTCGAGAGCGGCGTCGGCGGCGTCGGCGGGGGCGCGGTGACCGCTGCTGGAGGCTCGTCTTTAGCCGGAGATCAAAGCGCGCAGTCGAACATCGCCAGCGACCGTGTGATCACATCGTCCTGCAGTCAAGTTTACATCAACTGAGAACCACACGTTGTATGTTTTTTCCTTCCAAAAGTTCAGAACTTAGCGCGACTTGCCCGGAATATCATTCCCGTATCGACGAAAGCACTGAACAAACTACAAACAAGCTCGCGCAAGCTCCATAAACATCGATTAATCTTCGGTGTCCTTATTTTTGTTTCTTGCATTCGTGCCTCACGTGCACTGTGAGTTCACGTGCATTTATTGTTAGAGCATAATTCGTACGTTTCTGTACCCGTGTAGAAAGCCAATATTCATAGTCAGTTCTTATTTTAAGATTGTCTTAAATAATGTCTTATGCTAATATGGCTCTGTATGATTGGCTTATACTGTTTATAATATCTTAAAATTATACTTAAGACGATCTTAAATCTAAGAATCAACTATGATAATACTGGCCGCATGTACCGCAGAATCGAATACGAGGAGTTGGAAATTTACAAATATTTTACAGAAAAGTTTCTTGACGACATAGATATTGATATTGATAAAAATATCTCTGCGGAGATATGTATTTAGTCTTTAATATCGAATGATTCTGCCAAATTAATTCCCAAGACTATAAGTGGATAATGAAATCGTATTTCTCAGTGAAATATAAAATCTGTTATTTCTACAGAAATAACGTAATTCAATAATTAATTATCGCGATGTATAACATGGAAAATTACGAGCTCATTCAAAAAGAGGGAATCGTTCCAAGTCTGGTTGAACTGCGAGTTGGAACTAGCTGAAAGAACACCCGGCAGATCTGGGACATTTTGTATATACGTCTCGAACTTTAGATTCATTTACGAAAGGGAGTGCATACAGAGTGTCCCAAGTTCACTATATCTTCTTCTATTCAGACTTTAATTAAAGTGAGATTATTATTATAGTCTGGTTCATCAATATGGGAGCGTGTGTGACACGCAGATAGCAAAGGCACTAAAAAAAAGTCAGTTGCACATCAATCTCAAAGAGTCTACAGAGACAAATGGGAGCGACGATAGGGACACCCTGTATACTTTCCATCTACTACTTGATTGCTCGTAGTTTCATGGCCAGACATACCTTCAAACAACTCTCGATAAACTCCTCGATCGTGATAACACCGTCCTGGTTGAGATCGAGTTTCTTGAAGACCCTGTCCAGCTGTTCTCTCGCCTTCCTTTCCTCTTCGGCGTGATGCCGTCTGCCCATGAGCTCGTGAACTGCTGTCACGACTTCGCCCAATTCGCCCCTAGTGATGCAACCATCGCCATTTATGTCGTACAGCTTGAAGGTCCACCTCAGTTTCTCATAAATGCTACCCCGCAGTAGGGTCGACAGCGTCACGAGAAGGTCCTGCAATCCCCAGAATTATCTAAGTCGCGCGCGACTTTAATACGAGACACGCAGTGGAATGACAGTGCTTCTCGAGTGTCCAAACGTCTGTACACTTTGTGAATTTCATGAAAATTCAAATGAAATTTCACAATTTGACGGATAATGAGAAATAGTTTGGACGTAAATGAATATTTAAAAAAACGAAAGACATCAGCGAAGCAGAAAAAAATGTTAATCAATATCTCAAACGAAGCGTTCGTGAGGAAACTTTCAAAGGAAAATTTTGTTGGTTTTGAAGTCTCAAATTCATATTTTAAGTTTAACTCGGAAACTGGTATGTGTATATATATATATATGTATATTATACATACATAAAATGTATATAGTGTTTTTTGTTAAAAAGGCCAATCTTTGTCCAAAAAATTCAGCTCGATCAAAAAAATTTCTTTCTGGGCTTAAATCGTAAATTGTTTATACATGTCTATTTTCATTAAGAGCTCTAGCCCTTTCGGAAATTTAACATGACAGGTCCAACATGACACGACTATAGTTCACGAAGTACTGATTGAGAACGCTTGAATCATCAATATTGCTTATATCTATATCTAGCAATATATTATTATACGACTACAGTTACTCATAGGTGCACATTAAAAGGAAACCTGCAATTATACAAAAAAAAGAACCATCTATATAATACGAAACATCGACAAGGGAAATTAGTGAAAATAGTACCCGGGTATGTTCAAGTTCATCTCCCACGTGAATACCGCGTTGACCCATTGAAAGCTTTAATACCGTGTGCGATGCTCAGCATCAAGCTGCCTTTGCGGTAGTAATAAATTTTCTGTATACGCGCGAATGACCATGCAACATTCGCATGGAATGACGGATGATCAGCGAGCTCCGTGAGAGGTAGCTTCGTAGGCGCATTTGCCTCTGTATCCGATACATACCAGCGTATTCCGGATTTATCGTAAAAACGATTAATTATTCATCCGATAAACGATCCGCTCAATTGGCGGTAGTCCCGACTCGGCAATCGACGACCGGGCCGTTCGCGTGCCGCGTTAATATCGCGAAACGCGATGTGCATCGCCCGCCCGCATAAATGCATCAGTATTTGCGTTCCGTTTGTCGTATAACGCCGAAATTTCCCATCGAGATTCATCGCGCTCGCGTTTCATGCGCGCGTCAATGTCGACTGGAGAACTATATCGCAGAAATCGCGGCATAAAATAGATAGCAAATTAAGCATGGCCTGAACTAGATATGAGCAAAATTAAATTAAACCCGAGTATAGCGGACGATAACAATGCACTAAATTTAAAATTAATGTATGAGTTGTTTCACGGTATAATCAAGTAGAACGTTCATTTATTACTTCGACTCGGAAATTTATTATTATTGTGTAATTAATTGTTAATTTGAACAAATAGCTCCTTTAACTAAAATATATGCTCTTTTTATTATACTTCCTCATTAACAGAAAAAAGATTGTAATTACTATAATTCTACTGTAATTTATAGTCATTTTTGGTTTTCCGGAAATTATCGCAGGACAAACCTGGGTTAAGTCTAAAACTTTAAATAGGACCATATAGGGGTCGAACAGGATATATCTGATTTATCACAAGGTTTGATCATAAAAATTTTAATTCAAACCTCCAATAACTTTTGATACACAAATGGATGACTCATAATTTGTGACATTTCTTTATTCTTTCCGTAAGTGATATTTAAAAAAGGTTTAAATATAAGTTGTTTGTTTTTAAATCTATTATTGGATAGATTAAAAAACAAATAATTCATCAGTATGCTCCTCGCTGATAAAGTGAATGGCAAGGTTCACGAAACGTCGGCATTAATAATGGATCATGACACGGCAATAACTCGCGAAACCTCTGGCATCTTTAAAATACAATTTTTGCCTTAAACCTTTTATCTACATTATATCACGTACAGTTTACGAAAAAAATAAGAAAATGTCGCAGATTATGAGTCGTCTATTTATCCAAATATCAAACGTGATTGGAAGTCTAAATTGTTGATATCGTAGGACGTCAAAGTTAACACCAAATATCCTACTGTACCAACAAATCATTGTGCGATCTGGCTGTAATTACAATATAACATATGTTACATTACAAATGTTACATCTACGAATGGGAAATAGCAACTAATATGTATGCTACATGTAACATATGTGTTAGTTATATGTTATACAACAGTTAAATGTTACATTACAAATGTTACATCTACGAATGGGAAATAGCAACTAATATGTATGCTACATGTAACATATGTGTTAGTTATATGTTATACAACAGTTAAACATATATCTGTGTTTGTTGGGTACATTATAGCAGTAATATAAAAATGGAGCTCCTAATTATTTTACCATGCAATTATACATATAATCACAAATATAAAACACTTTTCTCTCAAAGTACAAGGTATATTTTATCTACTTGACAATCAATTAAATACTCAAATAAATAAAATTTAAGAACTTTTAAGTAATTGCTTTGTTTCGTCAATACATGTACACGCGTTTAAGAGGTTATCACAGGAAAATTTTCTCGCATAAACGATGCGTGACGTATTTCAAGACGAGGACACATGTCGCACGCCGTCATTCGAAAGCAAAGGTATACACTAGCGACATATCAATCAATTTAAAATTAATGAAAAGACTATATATTACATGAGAGAAAGATAGAGAGACTTAATTACCCTGAAGCTGATGGCCCCGTTGCAATTAACGTCGAAGGCCTTGAACACGTAGTGGGCGTAGAGACTGGAGTCTGCAATTCGCATGAGGGGTGGCCATTAACTAATTACGCAAAAACGTGGACTGTTATTTAATTGGAACTCACTGCCGTGCGGGAAGAATTTCGCGTAAATGTCCTTGAATGAGTCCTCGTGCACTACTCCCTCGGGACACTCCTGGAATAAAAGAAAAACAAAAAAGGGCCGTGAAAAACGATCATACTCAGTTCCGCGAGAGTTTTATCAGAGCGAGATTAAGCGACACTCTATGTACATGTACGTATATATTTTCCGGTCATCATTTATTCGAACGAGCAATGCTATATTTTTCTGTAGCTTGAAAATATGTGCTGGTGAGACACCGTTGACTCGTTTGTCCATCAATAAAGCACAGGATAACATTCGTTGCTTTAATATCGTGGCAGTAGTAGTATAGACGCGAAACAGTTGATAAAACCAATTGCATAGGTAACAGTTTTATCGATCCACATATTTTCATATCTCTCGTGTAAGAAATAGCAAATCGAAACTGCGAACGTATCGTAAATCATCTACGATAACGTTTCGCAAACTCTCATGTTTTCCATCTTTGTGCAGAAGCAGACGAGAACAATGAGGCTCCCGCACACGATATCGAAGAACGTTGTAGCTGCGTACAGGTAAAATAGAATAGAATAAATAAGTTCCTCTCTCACGACGCCTTCTCTTATCTCACCTCGTATATCCTTATTTCCATACATACGCGCAAATCGAATTTTCCTTGAATAAAAGCATTCTTTGAAAGATGTTCTTTTAAAGTATCGGATCCTTTTAAAGCAATTTAATTTCGCCAACGCGAAGTATCCGCAAAGAATCGCGTCGCGGATGCGGCAATCCCTGAAATAAATCTTCGAGATATCTTTATAGAGATACGCAAATAATATTGGTTTCGCTCATTTAATATACATTGTATTTATCTCGGCAAATTGATTCGCAGATGCTCGCCGGAAACCTCACTGTTACCGCAGGAGCAAGGAAGGACGCTTCGGGCGGAAGACGCCTCGTGGGACGACGGCGTAATCCCAGATTTAAAAATTCTTGCGCTTCGTATTATAGTTTCGACCTGGAAGGATAATCCTGTTCTGGAGGATCTGCCGACGTGCGCTGACAGGGATGTGCTGCTGGAAACACTACCGACTGATCTACCCTTCGAGTTGACGATACCAAGAATCGAGGACGAGTTTTATTGGGAACGCGCGGCCAAGGACAGGTAAGACGAACCATTTATCGATTCTCGATTACATGAAATATTATTACGTAATAGCATACTATCGAATGCTATCGTGTAATTTACATCGAAATTGCGCATTAATCGTGGCTAAATAATAGTTGAACTTCATTTGATATTAATTGACTGTAATTTCTGATCTTACAAAATTGAGAAAACAACCATGCAAATATAACCTAGAAGATTGTAAGTAAAAAGTCAAAAAGTTTCAGAGTCATTTTTTTGTCACATCTATGTAATTAGAAAATTAAATTAGAAAATGAGCATTCGCCTCATACGACAGCAACAGAGAATTAAAATTGTGATAGCTGATGTATAAAACAAAAACGAGTTCTTTATTATTTTCTACAAAACAACAGAATCAGAAGGGCTCACTTGGATCTCTTCCTTTGATAGTCTAATCTCTTATCTTAATTGGTTGACTTTAATGGTA